AATTTGCAAGTGGAAATGAAGAGTTAAGGAGGCGAAAAAAAAGCTAAACTAGAATTTGCCAGGAACGCTGTTGCTGTTTATTTTACAGATTTATGACAATGAAAAAGGCTGGAGTAAGCAGCAAAAAATAAGGTGTATCAATTTTTTGATGTACACCAAATAAATTAGCTACATTTGTTTTTGCCGTTTTTTGACGTTATATTTGTTGTCAGCGGTCCGTTTGGTGATAAAGCTAATGCTTTTTTAAAGTTAAAAAAGTAAAATTAGTACTATGGCTATTTTATTGCTTTTTATTTTAACTACCTTTACAAATTTCAATTAACCAGTTGTTAAACAGCAATGTATTTTGTTGAAATGATTTAGAGGACACAAATTTTGAAACGCATTAATATAGAAATAGTTGAAGTTTAAATGCATTTGGAACCGCTTCGTTCGTTAGTCCGATAGTGGGTTCAGTTGAGCACAAAAAATGACAACAACAGCAACAACAATGATCACATTCTTTAAAGAACAATTTTTCTTAGATGTTAGAAATATTTCATCTATATTATTCATCCACATCGACAGCATCAGCAGCATCAGCAACGGTAACAGCAACAGGAACAGCAACAGGAACAACAACAGTGTTAAAATGACTAACAACCCCGTTGTTGAGCTGTAATTTAGCTGCCAACAGGTTTTGTATAATTTCATTTAAAATGCTTTAAACATCTGTGAAAATAATTCTTTTTAAATTAAAGCCTTTGAAAATTTTTTAACATATTTTCTTTTCGTTTTTTTTTTTCTGTTATTCAAATCTATTTTTTTTCTTTTTGTTTTACAACTGTTACCCTCACTCAAAAGGATAAGTAGGGGATAAAAATTTTGCTGTTTTATTTTTTATTTCTATTTTTCTTCTCGAAAAAGTATTTTGTACTAATAAGGTATACAATCCAAAATGCAAAAAAGAAAGGAGGAAGAAGAAAAAGAAGAAGAAGAAGAAATAAATAACAAATGAATTACAGCTTTTTTTTTTTATTCTGCTTACTTGCTTGTTTACTTATATTTTCCCCACAAAACTTTAAGCGTTTGTATACAACTGTTCCAACAGGGTACTTTTAGTGCTCGTCCATATAAAAGAAAATTAGTTTATTTCGGATTAGATGTAAACACCAGGGGAAAAAAAAAGAAAAGAATAGAAAAACCATGTGTTTTTACGTCATCTCATGGAAAATACTTATAAAAAATATAGAGCTGCTAAGTTCAAGTTGATTACATTGCAGCTAAATAGTGAGTTCTTTTAGAACAATCATAATAATGACGATACTAATTTTATATAAATAAAAAAAAAAAA